GAGTGGTATAACGCTAACAAAAAGGACTACACGTGTAATATTGAAAACCAATTGTAAAAATACAAATCAAATGATTAAACAATTTAATATTTTTAAACAAATAAAGCGTGAATTAAATACTGTGTTATATAATAATTTGGATATAGTTTTATATATTTATTGCTGTTTTATTAAAAATGGCTTATAATTAGTCGATTTACATACACCAGGACTGACACCAACTCTTTTCTCCCTCCGTTTGATTTGATAATTGAATATTTGATTCATTCGCTGACCAAAGACCGGGTGTTTGGATAATCTTTTGGACCAATTCCTCGAAAGCGCATTCGACGCCTTCCTTAGTCTTAGCGCTGGCTTCGATGAACAGTGTGTGATGTCTTCGCGCCCACTCAACGCCCTCTTCACGGCTCACCACTCGGCCATCCTTTGCGCAAAACAAACCAATTAATTGTTTCAGTCATACATCACATGAAATACTTTATCAATTTTATTGGCGATTAACATCTTCACGACATCCGATTGCGTGTAAGCGTCCACTTCTTGCAGCCAATTGTCTAACTTCTCAAACGTGGATCTATTGGTCACATCAAACACGAGAATCACTCCGTGAGAGCCGCGATAGAAGTTGGGCGTAAGGGCTCGGAAGCGCTCGGATCCGGCCGTATCCCAAATGGCCAGCTTTACCACCGATGAGTCCACTTCCATACGCGCCGTCTTGAAGTCCATTCCTGACAATCAGTGCATCAATTATATGACAATTAGTCCAATCAGAAGACATATGGAGTGACTCTACGAACCAATAGTTGCGGGCATTTCTGTGGCGAACGTGTCATCAGTGAAACGCAATAACAAACTGTCAATGGATCCAATCGGTGACAATCATATTCAATCACAAGCCATACATACCTCGACTTTCCCACAAAGGATTCGCCGATTATAAGGATCTTAAGTGTGGTTAAGATGTCTTCTTCCAAGTGATCCATAATTGTAATCAAAATGTATTCGCAATTCAGTCAACACTTGAAGTAATCGTCAAATCATTGCCTAATGTTTACAAACAGTGCATCACTTCTACGCTCTTCACAAACAACGTTACCATTCATTCACGTGTTGTTTGCGTTTGCCTTCAATTGTTGTGCAATTGATTCGTCCGATTGTCTCATCCATTGGCGATCATGTCGTCCAAGAAGTCCAAAGGGAAGCGAATGAAAGGCACGACAATCGATGACCAGAACGACGGCACACCTCTATTGCCAGGTATTGTGAGCCACGGGTTGACACATCTGACCATTAGGTCTGCCAACAGGTCGTCGCGAGTGTTGGTGTGAGGCATCCAAACACCAATTGGTGGCCAATTGTCTCAATTGTGGTCGCATTGTATGCGCTCAGGAGGGCGTCGGTGAGTGTTTCACGTGCGGACACACTGTCATCACTGCAGACCAGAGACGGCTATTGAGTCAACAAAAGGCAAACAATGAGTTGTCATTAAATGGCATAATAGACGACGTGTTGTCCGGCAATAAGTCCAATAACACGGGTCTGAAGGATATCGCCGCCAGTTTTGAGGCCAAGAAGAGTCTCGACAAAGCGATCGGACATAAGGACCAAATGCTTGAATTCGATCGAAACTCTTCGGTCAGGACTAAAGTGATTGACGACCAAAACGACTACTTCTCTCTCGGATCGCAAAACTGGATATCAAATGAGAAACGAAAGACAATTTCGACAAAAGTGGAAGAATTGCACGAAAATAAGCTGAAGAAGAATCAGAAGATTTTGATTGATTTGGTCGAGAAGTCGGCCAAAGACTATAGCGAACCCGTTATCAAAGACTTTAATAAAGAGATCCAAGACTTGAACGATGAAAGCAAACTGAAGAGTGATTACGAGAATGTGGACGCGAATACATTCATTGATAATAACAGTGCAAATCTCCCGCTTTTAATGTACATCAGTAGTAGTGGTAAGAAACGCAAAGACCGACTCATTGAAGGCAACAATACTGCCGACAAAGGAGTCATCAAATCTATGATTAATCTTAGAGTTCAGGACAAAGAACTGATGACAATGTCTGACGAGGGGATGTGTCTGTCGGTGAACCAACCCTTTGCGTCGCTTCTTGTTTGTGGTATAAAGCGATTTGAGGGCCGGAACTGGTATTCTTCGTTTAGAGGCAGACTTTGGATTCACTCCAACAGCAAAACACTGGACACACAGAAAGTGAAAGAAGTCGAAGAATTTTATTCGTTTGCCGGCATTAAGACATTCCCGCACTCATACCCGACGTCATCGCTGGTCGGGTGCGTGAATGTCACCGATTGTCTCTCTTTCGAGGAATACAGAGCCGAATACCCCGAAGGAGACACTGAAGCCAACTATATATTGGTCTGCGAAGACGCCACACAACTGTCCAAACCGTTGCCGATCGCGAGTGGCGGACATCGCATATACAAACTCAACCAAAACATACACTTCTCTGCATTAAAATCACTTGAAATCTAGTTTTTTAATTCAATTTAATTTATGAGTTTATATTACGAGACGTTATTTTTGTTCACTTTTTTCAACGCAAAAGATTTGGCGGTTTTTAAAATTTTTATATAAAAATTGTTAATAAATAATGTATTGTTTGTAATATACATGTATTGCATGTGTAAAGCCTTTGGGGCTCTAATAAAGGCACTCATATTTGGACGTAATTTGTGGACAAATTTGAATGATTTAACGGAAAAGTCAAAGCATTTGTTTGTTTTGATTGTGATTTGAATTGACATTAAATGCCAATTGAATTGAAATGAATGTGGATTTGAGCAAAACGTGGACTCAATTGAGTGACACTTTGAACGCCATGAGAGAGTCGGATGAAGTGGTTGTCACAGAAATGGTGGACACGTTTGAGAAGAAGATGAAAGGTTTGTGTGAATGAGATTTGCAAATGAATTGAGTGTTAATTGAATGCAAATTGTGTTCAGAAATGAATGGTTTGGTTAAAGACATGAAGAGATGGACTAAAGATAAACACAAACTCGAGTTAGAGATGGAAAGCGTGGAAAAGGCGATAATGAAAGCCAAGTCTAACATTGAAAAGGCTGAACACAAGTGCTCTGATGTCCACAAATGTATGCTTTCATTATATGATCACTCCATTTGATCCGCTTTTAACCATTGATTTGTTTGTTTGCCGAAGACATTGAAAAGCTGTCGAAGAAGAACGACGAGAACAAAGAGAACGTCGAGAATGTGATGAATGTGTGGAATACGATTGGCTTAAGGATTGAGAAAAGTGATGATATCTATACCATTAAGTTGAATAAGATATCAGAAACTGATCCCAACAAATGGTTTGCAGTCAAGATTAGCCTCGAAGACAACCATAGGGTTAAAGGTTTGTATGAAGACCTGAATGTCATTTGCATTGATTATATGATTGTCTTTTGGATCAGTTGTCGAATGCGATCCCAAGGACTCGTTGGACACCAATTTGATTGAGAATGAGTTCAACGCGAGAGTCGCCGAAAACTCGAACCCGGATTTACGCCATTTGATTGCTTTCATTAGATCTAATCTTAAGAAACGTCACTCAAAATAAGATAACATTTCATCACTTTATTAAATATTTTTTATTCACTACTTTTATAACAATTTTAAATATATTTATATTATTTCATCATTTATTATGAAATCATTAACTTTTATACATCCAGTTTGTCGTATAAATTGTATTAAATACCGAAAAATTTTGAACAAAAAAATATGCAAATAATAGCTTATAATTATTATTAATATAAGTTATAATAAAAATTTGAATTAAAAAATGGTTACAAAATAATCATTTATTGTCGTCAACACAATATCATATTGTGGTTGAAGTGATTGTTTGACATTATATTACACACTATTTAACAATAAATAGAGACGAATGACTCGATTATCAAATGATTAATTATGTATAAGGAATGCGAGTATTAGTGGCCGTCATCTAAACCAATGACTACCGGATCGGAAGCATTTGATACACAATTTCTCTATTCTTGGGCTTCAGGAATGTATAGATTATGTAAATCAATGCCATAACAGCCAATGTTAGAAGCGATCCAAACATATACGGCATAACTGTTGGAATCAAGTAAATAAAAGCAAACAATTCTTTACAAAACACTTTATATTAAAAATATTAAAATGATTGTTAGACCTGTTTTTGAGGCGAATGAGAGTCCCGTGTTTTGACATTCGGAGTTCCAGTCGCCGGGAATGAGATCATTGACTGATTCAACAAATTGTTGAAAAAGGCATTCATTTCGAGCGTTCGTACAGTTGGGCAAAACCAAAGTCATTGGTTTCTCCGATTGGGTGTCGTTTAAGTAAAACATTTCAATCGTGTATTTATTGTTTGTTTGACGCAATTCTATCATTATTGTTGACCCTATCAAACAAACAGTCCATCAAATTGTATCCACAGTATAAATGCGCTTATATTAGTATCTAATCATTCATATCATACCAAATGGTGGAGACTTTTTGTCGAACACATTGAGAGCATTTAAAAGGAGTGCGATTTGTGTGTCGTGCTATACAATCATATAAATCATATACCAATTTGTTTAACAATTTACACAACAATCACTTACTGTCGAATATATGTATAGTTTGTTAGGTGTTTCACTTGTCGTATCGTTTCTATTGATTGTTTCGTTCATATTTTTAATTATATCCTTCAGAAGCAATCCTTTAAATACAAATCGACAATAAATTTCACATTTAATTAAATAGTGATACAAATGATTACCAGTTCTCAAACGTTGAATTAATTTAGTGGAGAAATCAAAATAAAAAGTCATGTCAGAGATTTGGCTTAAAGTGTGATAAGTGTGTTCATCGACCCAAAGTGGTAACTCGTATTTGTTCTCCTTCTCGATCAGCAATGTGTCGAATACCTCTTCAGCGGCCGTCAGATTCGTTATATTGAGACCCGTATTACTCGACACGTAATTCAATACCGCCTATAAT